GCTCTGGAAGGGGCTCTAAGCTCCCGGAGCTTCTCTCCTCCAGGCTGATCAATCCCAATTCTTTCATCCTTTCCCCATCTCAGAGCTGCTCCATCCCTCTGATCCCCTTGGTGTCTCCTCTGGACTGGCTCCAGCAGCTCCACGTCCTCCCTTGCTGGGAAGCACGTGCCGATATTCCCGTGTCAGTGCGTTCCCCCCTCAGCGGGCGCCTGGGGCTTTGCCAAGGGCACACGAGTTCCACCCCGCGTTCCTGCGGCTCTGACCCCTCTCTCCCTGCAGGCCCACCCGGATCTCGCAGCCGGAGGACACCCGACAGCCCAACAATGTGATCCGGCAGCCGCTGGGCCCCGATGGCTCCCAGGGCTTCAAGCAGCGCAGATAAGGGCGGATGTGCCGCGGTTCCGCCGTTCCAGAAAGCCGGGCCCCCGGCACGGACACACGGACCTGGGCAAGGGGGACTCCCGGCATGATTTGCACTGTGACCCCTTCGCTCTGCCCACTGTGACCTTCAGCCCCACGCACTGTGACCTCCCCTCTGCACCCACTGTGAGCGGCGATCCCGAGGGCTGTCCCGAGGATCCAGCGGGAGAAGGAGGGGGGTGCCGGACTCGGGCACCGGGAGCTGCGTGTGCCGCTCGGGTCGGGGCTGGCGCCAGCAATAACGTTTGTTGTACTCGAAACCCTGGCATTTAAGGAAAAAAAAAGATGGGAAGCGTCCCCAGCCACGCATGTTGTCCTCATCACTTCCAGAGCGAGTTCTGTTTCCGAGGATTTTGGGTTCTTCTGTTTGATTTTCTGTTTGTTTTCTCTGTCTGGGATCGGCCGAGTGCGTGGGAAGGGTTTGACCTGTTTGTGTTAATCCACAGAGGTAGTTCAGTGTTCCCAAAGGAATTCCAATGGATTTCCATGAGTTGAATGGCTCGGGGTTGACAAGCTCTTGCTTCTCCTTCCGAAGAATTGGACTCCTGGATCCCCCGGGATACCTCAGAGCCAGACCTGGTCCACGCCTCGCTCCTGTGCAAGCTCGGCTCCCTTTTCCTGCTGCTTTGAGGAAAAGCTTAAAACACCCCTTGGTTGGGCTCTTTTGTGTTTTGGGGAGAAGGGAATGTGGAGTGATCCCGTGAAAATTCCTGCTGCCTGGCCACAGAGGGCCAGGCAGTGAAGAATTTGGGATATGTGGTGAGGAGGAGAGTATCTTGGAACGGAGAGCGGGATGTCCAGAGGGTCCAACCCCGCAGGGACGGTACGAGCTGCGTTTGCCTCCCGGAATTCCAGACACTGGGAACAAACCCAGCCTTGGAGAGAGCCTGGATGATCCCTCCATCTTCAGGAAAGGGATTGTCCTCCTCCAGCTCCCAGGAAGAGGCCGGGGAGGCCGGTGCTCCGCAAGAACAGGGATGTTCCCCCCTGGATGAAGCTGAATATCAAGGGATGAGATGAACACTAAATGCTGCTCTCGGAGGGGACCTGGAATTCCCTGTGTGGTTCCCGGCGGATTCCCAGCAGATTCCTGGGGTCTGGGTGCTGCCTTCAGTAGGTTCAAGGGTGAACAAGCCAATCCTGACGTGGTGTCCGTGCAGAGCAGCACTTCCTGCATGGAAATATGGCTTAAATCCCACAGGAACGGGAAAAGAAAAACTACCTGTGCATCCCACGGATCCGCCGGAGCTCAGTGAGCTCCTTAAGGCCGATTGCAGGTGGGGCAGGATTCCCTCGGGATTCCCCCGGGATCCCCAGCCCCCAGTGGTTCGGGGGGGTCTCAGTTCCCCCCCGGCTGGTGGTCGGGATGAGCTCCGGGAGGGAGCGGGAGGGGAGAAGGACGTCAGCAATAACCGCAGTCACCGCGCCTTTCCTTAACTATTCCCCAAACCCCACCGAATAGCCAAAAAACCCCAAACCCACCCGGCTCCCGGTGGGGCTGGGCAGTGCTCAGCCACTGCCTCCTCCAGCACCGGAATCTCCGTGTCCGGCACTGAAATTCCATCCCCGGCACCGAAATCTCCCTTTTCCAGCACCGAAATGTCCTTTTCCAGCACCG